TGTTGTAATTATTATAATAGAATATTGGTGGGGGGGGAAACTTACAGTTGGCTCAAGAGCAGTATACATTTAAAGAACAGTTAAGGCACATCACGGGACATGGGTGACACTGTGGTCTAAACCACAGACCCTAAGGCTTGCCTATCAGAAGGTCGGCAGTTTGAATCCCCGCAATGGGGTGAGCTCCCATTGCTTGGTCCCAGCTCCTGCCAACCTAGCAGTTTGAAAGTACGTCAAAGTGCAAGTAGATAAATAGGTACTGCTGTGGCGGGAAGGTAAACAGAATTTCCATGTGCTACTCTGGTTTCGCCAGAAGTGGCTTAGTCATGCTGGCCACATGACCCGGAATAACTGTCTGCGGACAAACGCCATCTCCCTCAGCCGGTAAAGCGAGATGTGAGCTGCAACCCCAGAGTCTTTCGCAACTGGACTTAACTGTCAGGGGTCCTTTACCTTTACCTTAAGGCACATCACTCCCCCCCCCCACAAGAATCCTGAGAACTGTGGCTTATTAAAAGTTCTGGGAATTGTAGCTCTGTGTGTGGAGTAAACCACACTACCCAGAATTATACAAGGGAAGCCATGTGCTTTAAATATATGGAAGCACCCTCAGTGGTCTATGCCTTTGTTAGAGCAGGCTTTTTCTGAGGTTGTTTATGATGAAACCCATCTGGTCACTTTTAGCTTATAGTTTCAAACTTTTTCCTAAGGAGCTAGGATCCACCTGTGACATTCATTTTAGTCCAGAAGCACATCATTTTATCTCATGGAGCTGCGTCAGTTGTCCAGGAAAAAAAAAAGAGTCAAGGTGCAATTATGAGAGGCCACCATGAACCTGATCATTATGTGAATCATAAAAGATTCCTTGCTTTTGCTTTAAAGTGCAAAATCCAAACATTTTGGATGTGAACATTTAAGCTGTGCAAATGGTGCCACCTACTGTATTGCAAAGCACACAACACATTATTATTTTGTACAGGAGAGGGTTCTTTTGTTCAGTTTGTTAGCATGCATTCCGTTGGTATTCCTCAAACCTCATAAATACATACAGTGGTACCTTGGTTTTCGAACGTAATCTGTTCCGGAAGATCGTTTGATTTCTGAAACGTTCGAAAACCGAGGACCAAAGGGCTGTTGGCAATTTCAATGGGGAAAAATGAGAAATGTGCCTTGGAAGCTGTTCGAGTTCCAAAAAACATTCGAAAACAGAAGCATTCACTTCCAGGTTTTTGGTGTTCGTCTTCCGAAATGTTTGGCAGCTGAGACGTTCGAAAACTGAGGTTCCACTGTACTTTACTGGCAATGAAACCTGGCTTCAGATCAGTCCGCAGTTCGATGCTACCCGCTTCTTTATTGTGCTTTTAACAACAGCTTCATATACAGATGTTATCAGTTAATGGTGCTTTAGCACCACACCTTCAAATGCTTCCCCTGCTGATTCCTTTATATCAAGATTCTTCAAATGCACAGAAGGCTAGACCAGGTTGTTCCTCACCACACCCCCCTGGCTTGTTGGAAACCCAAATTCTGAGGTGTAAATTCACTTAGAAAGAAGATGCCTGGAGTATGTGAGGGACTGAACTTTGCTGTGGAATGTTCAACATTCCCCCCCCCCCAATTTATTTTATTGGTTTTCACAACATTATAAACAAACAAACACATAGAACAAACAAACATGAATCATAGCCTTATTAAAAATTACACTTATTAATATTGTTAAGTGACTTCCTCGCTTCCCCTTGGTTGAATTTCATTGCATGTCCTTTTAACGGTTTTCCAAATCACAGTTCTTAAAAATTTTTTAACTTAAACATTAACATCCTTAGCTCTTCACATTATGAAATTAAACATATTAATTCATCACTTAACTTAAATAAAATCCTAAGCCAATTAAGTATCTGCAAGCTGTTTTCAGTTAATTTAACTTAACATATTTAACTAAGTAATCATTAAATTTGATGCAGTCTTCCTGATACTCCTCCTACAGTATCAGTATCTGGAAAGTTCATCATTAGCTCAGTCACCTCCCCACTGTTCCGTGCCCTGTATTTTCTGGGTAAGGGAAACACCAGCCCTTATAAATCCTTATAGTTAACAGCAGTGTTCTCTGGGTGCACACACACACACATTTCCCATGTTCCCAGTTCAGCCCTTTTACACTAAAGTGGAAAGTGGCACCAATGTTTTTGAGTTATCAATTTTTTTACAGTCTGGGGGCTTCCAGATGACCTGTTTATTGAGTACTCATCCTGATTTGTTTTGTAGGGGGTTTAGATGAAGCTCGCTATTTAATGAGCTTTCATTCTGATTGGTTTCTAGGGAGGTTACGTGGCAGTTGCATCAAAACCAATGTCTTGTTACCGCACACTTTCCAGTGCTTTCTCCCCTAACCTCACTTTCCTTATTGCTGAAATCCAGGTCTTTAAGGAAGCAGGTTTGTTGCGCAAGACCTCCCAAACAACTATAATTGTGCAACCTTAATTTTCTGGTGTACGACTGAACGTCCCCCCATCCCCACCCAAAGAAGTGACACACTGGAAGCACCCTCAGTGATTTAAAGTTTGCACGGTAAGCAGGAGTGCATTCCATGAAGCCTTTAGCAGGATCAGGATGCAATGCTGCAGAAACCTACACTTGTCCACATGCAGGTAGAAGAGGCCAAGGCTGCGTACACATCATAAAGTTAAAACACAGCTAGGTTGTTCTTTTTCCCTCAATTTGGATCAAAACTAGTTGAGGGAAAGAGGGGGAACCCGTCAATATGCAGTATTTTATAAGAAACAGCAGGTTATAGAGTGGATATGGATTGTGGCAAATGTCATGTGTACATTCCTTTCCCAAACCATTGGTGGGAGTGCAATGGATGAAGAATAAATGGGAATTTGTACAGAACATGGGGCCTTCTGAATGCAATGAGTGTTTTCTATGTTTTAATATCCACTTTCTACCAGTGCTTCTGACTTCCCTGCGATTGCTAAAGGCTCCTGCTGTTGATTTTGGAGCTACCGTCTGCCCCTCTAAAAGGCACCTGAACTGAAAGTTTGAGGATATGCCAATGTATTTGAATTAATCAGTTTCCATCTTAATATACTGCTTTAGTAATCAAGATCGGCAACATATTTAAATGCAATCAATAATTAGATGGAACATGATTAAACAACTCAATGTTCTTTCATTTGTTTGACAAACAAACCCAGTGTTCATCCTAGCTCCATCCCTAAAACACTCTAGAGAAGTAATCTCTCTCTCCTCCTCTCCCCCTCATCTTTTTAAATGCATTCTGAAGTGATGCACAATAATTTAAAAAGCTGTAGATTATAATACAAGAAAGCTGCATTGCCCATAAGTTCTAATGAATTCACCAGCTCATTGAAACAAATGTGTTTAAGCCTGCCTCTGCATGGGGCTGTGGCTAGGAATATGAATTTACACTTTTGCAAGCAGCCTGCATATGGACATGAAGGATCTAAACACTGGTTTTCAGATCCTTGCTTGCAGTGCTGTCAAAGTTGGCAGCACCAACCATTCCTTTGGCTCGAGTCTCTTTGAACTGAGCCATCCATGGGGCCTGCACTCACTGTCTGAACTCCTAATTGGGAGGAATGGACAGCAGAAACTGAAAAATAAAACAAAATCCTGTTTCTTGGTATTGGGATAGGTTGCAACATATTAAATATATTAAATATAACTGATTCCAACCAATGGAATCTCACACTATCTGCATACATATTTTTATCTACCCTTTTCCAAGACTATAAGGGTTAATTCATATCCGTGTTAGCTTGAATATGTAGATGTTGAAAAGTGTGTCGTTATGAGTGTTATTAGGTGATGTAAAATATTGTTCAGCATCTGATCAGATGCAGCAGTTGATATTGCAGCCCTGAACAAATGGGTTCTGGAGTAACTTCTAATTTTAATAATTGGAAATTAGCTACCAGATTTTGAGCATTTTCTAGAAAGGCCTGTTGCGTTCCTGCAGGAGAATGAGGTGGTTGAATCAAGGGTGCTGAGAGACTCACAATTCCCCTCCCAATGCTACAATTTCTACAGTCATCCCTCTTCATGGGGAAATCTGGGAATTTTAGGTCTGTGGGAGGTCTTCTACCAACTCTCAGCATTCTTAACAAACTACAGCTCCCAGAATTCTTTGGGGCAAGCCACGAGTGCTTAAAGTATCATTGTAGTGCTTTAAATACACGGTGCGAATGTGGCCTATGGATCATTAATTTCAGGGGGAATATTCTGAGTGTGACTTAACTGGATATAACTGGATATAACCCCAAATCCTTAGATGGTTCTGTTCTCATGCCTTATCCAACCCACACTCTAAAATTTTATATGTTAACACAGGGCTTTCCCACTTGCAACTGCAATGACTGTGGAGCTAACAGAAACCAGTGTTAGCCCCCAAAGGGTTGTGCTAGGCTGTTCAGCTTTGTCTCTTGTCCTGCTGAGTCAGTTTAATGAAACATGCAGAACCCAAATGCCCATTTAGCAACATGCTTTCTATCCCTTCCCATCCTGACCTACAACAATGCAGGCAAAGGCATGTACAATACGAATTTGTTCATTCAGCAAGATTCTGAACCCTTTTCACAAAGAGCCGAGTGAAACAATGGCCACCAACATCTAGCAAGGGACACACAAGGCTGATTCTATTTGGTGCTGCGCCCTTTCTTGCTGTGTTGGGTTCAACAGCACTTTGCTATTGGAATGGCCCTAAGAATTGCATCAATAGGTTGGGTTTCAGAATAGCAACAAAATAATTACATCATACAAAACAAAAGAAAAAGCTTGTGGAAAAAATAGTTGAACAAAACTGTTTTATGCTTTCTTTGTCTTGTGTTTCCTGGCAGCTGGTTGGCTACAAACATACATTTTCTCTCTAAACTATTCCAGCAAAGCACCCTCCTGGTTGCAACCCTTTCTATGGCTTCTTTCCCCCAGTTGATCATTGGCCCAGAAGAGAGGACCTTCTGGAAATTCTGTGCTAGCTCATGTTTGTTGCAGATAGGTCCATTGTAGACACCTCCATAAATACTGGGTGCATTTCCTTAGCCATATTGAATGAGAGCTGGAACCAAAATGTGCAGGAGATGGACAAAGAAGATGCCAATGGCCAGGTAAAACATATGTGTGTTGTGAATGATGTAAACAAAACTTGCTAGGTGCATGCTTTGCTTATGAATGGTGGTGAGGAAAAAGAATCTCCACTGCACTGTTTGGTGAAAAATAGTGCATTGAAAATATTGGGATGTAACCTTAATAAGTTGGCAAGCAAGCAAACAAACAAGCAAGCAAGCAAGCAAACAAACAAACAAATAAACAAGCAGAAGACTGATTTCAAGAAATTAGACTGAGCATCCAGTGTTAGGTAATAACTTAATCAGTCCCGTACACCATCGCTTTATGTCTTGGATCTGGAACTGCTAGACAGGCAAAGTTTGGGGTGTTTGATGCACTGTGTGCTTAGCAAGCAGCAGCATTTTCCCTTTGAAGTTAGATGTTGAGCTAAAAGTCTCCAAAGTCAGCTAGTTGTCTGTGCTAAGCTGAAAGGTTAACTATTTGTGTGCAGTACACATGTCAGGAAGGGAATTCAATTAAATCAACGCTGTCTGTGCTTCAGTGGACAAATCTAAGGCATAAGCCATCAGCAGGGCTGTCTTAAGCATATCCGGTGCCATGGTGCAAAGCTCCGTCCGGTGCCCCCCCCATTTCCCAGAGTTCTTTAGGGAGGACAGCACTGCTGGTGGGGCTGGAGGAGGCAGGCAGCGGCTGGAGGGCGGCTCCTCCGGTGGGGAAGAGGCAGAGGCTGGACGCGGCGCCTCCCAGCTCAGCTGGTCGCTTTGTGCCGCTGTGGCCACAGCAGACGGAGGCTCCGGGTGCGGCGCTGCTTCGGCGCGGCATGGCAGAGGTGGGCGAGGGTGGCAAGCTGATGCTGGGAGGTGCTGCATCCAGCCTCCAGAACTTGGCACCCCGGCGCCCCGCGCCACTAGCCTCTATGGGTAAGACGCTCCTGGCCATCAACTTCTAATGATCTGAGTGAGAGAGAGATGAAGCAGTTGCTAAACTCTTCTACGGGGCCTTAAAATGCTGGATTGTACCCCCAACTTGTGCTGTATTAGAAAAAAAAATTTCAGCAACAATTAAGATTGCCATCCACACAGACAATCTGTGTGGATCTGTCATGGAATTCTACTCAATATTGAGCCAGAGCAGAACTCCAATGTATAGCTATCAGAGTAAAAACTTAAACACGTTGCAGGATTCCCCCAAAATAGACCAGAGGCAATTGTATTTCATCCAGCAGAGCTTTACTGCTACTGAAGGCAAATGAGCATAATAGTCACAAATCCAACGCATTCAGGATTGACACTGTCCATAAGAAATCCAGTTGCAGCAGACTTAACTTAAATTTGCAATAACTTAACCCACACTTTTGTGTATTGCATACAAAAAATAAAAATGCTAAAACTGAAACTTGGTTTAAAAAAAAGAAAATGTGTGGTGTGTTAGAGTCCTAAGGGAAGATTGGGTACGTGGGACACAGCTTAGCCACCCCAGTCTTCCACCACAGAACTTTGGCACCACAATCTGCTGCCCTGTGGAGCAGCTTAGCATCAGATCATTCTAAACTCTCTGAAACACACACACCCCTCTCAAACCATACATTGTTAAGGCCCAGTATTCCCATCTCTTAAATCCTTTGCTTTCCAGTGTTTTTAGAGAAGGTAAAACTATCTTTCTTGTAACTCTTCTCTCTTTCTCTTGCTTTCTTTTCCTGAAGATCTCACTGGGGAGAGATGAAATATTGATGAATGTTTTCCATTCATACTTTGTATAATTTAGTTTTTTGTTCATTCCCCGCTGTGGGAACTCCACTTCCTTTCTGATAGGAAGGACTTAATTGAGACTTTGGGATGGAGTGAACAATTAGCTGTTTGGTATACAGAATGCAGGATTACTTAAAGACTCAAGAAGACAATGTTTTTAAGAAAATACCTTTTGGACAAGCAAACTTTCCAAGCAGACCTCCTTTATCAAGAAATGATTGGAGACTTAATTATAATAAGAGGAAGCCTTCCATCAGCTTTGGCTGGTGGCCCAGCTGCGCCCTTATCTGGACAGGGATAGCCTAACTATGGTTGTTGTTGCTCTGGTAACCTCTAGGTTAGATTACTCCAATGCATCATATGTAGGGCTGCCTCTGAAGACGGTTCGGAAACTTCAGCTGGTGCAGAATTCAGCAGCCAGGTTGCTTACTGGGACAAGACAGTTTGAGCAAATTACACCGACCCTGGCCTGCCAATTAGTTTCTGGGCCTAATTCAAAGTGCTGGTTTTGACCTATAAAGCCTTAAATGGCTCAGGACCACAGTACCTCAAGGACTGCCTCTCTCCATATGAACCTACCCGGACCCTGAAATTGTCCTCTGAGACCCTTCTATGTGTGCCTCCTTCATGAGAGGTCTGGAGGGTGGCAATAGGAGAACGGGTGCTTTCTGCAGTGGCTCCCTCTTTGTGGAATGCTCTCCCCTGGGAGGTTTGGCTGGCGCCTTCATGATACATCTTTAGATGCCAGGTGAAAATGTTCCTTTTTAACCAGGCCTTTGGTTGATTGACATCCAATGTCCTTTTAAATGTGTTGTGGAATGGGGATTATTGGTTTGTTTCTGTTCTTATTTTTGTTATGTATTTTGTGGTTTTTTAATATTGTAATTTTATGTTGTGAACTGCCCTGAGATCTATGGGTATAGAGCAGTATACAAATAGTAATAATAATAAAAATAATAACAATAATAATTAAGGCAGGTCCCTGGATGTCCTGCTTTCTTGTCTGACTGGTGCTAGATTGTCCATAATCTGTCAGATTAAGGATAAGAAAACAAGATGAGATATCTATATATTGGATTCTATTAAACATTTAACAGAAGAGCGAGCTTTGATTAGGTTGTGGTCTAAATCCCCTTGCAGTGTGGATGTTACAATGTGCATTGGGCCTGGGTTTATGGAATGTATCAATTCCGTAAGTATGTCAAATGTATAAAGTGTGAATTAAAGAGGGCTGCATATTTTATTTGAACAGAGCATATTGTTTATATTTGCTGATGATTGCAGAGCACTGCCGGAAATGAAACTGAGGAAGTTGATGGCAACTGCATGTGTGGATTAAGAAGAAAAAGAGGAGTCAAAGTCACTGGGAAGCAGAACCTTACAGCAGGATGTGAAACTATGGACACTTCTCACCCTGGAAACACTTCTGATTCTCTCTCTCATCGAAGAAAGCTTGCTCACCTCAAGCTATGTACAGACGAACTTCTTCAGAAACCACCAGGCTTCCCAGCAATGCAGGAAGCAGATGAGAGCCCTCCCAAATATTGTCATACAACAGAAGACCCACAGCAGGGCAGAGAGGAACCTCACAAAAGCAGCCCAGAAGCTCATGGGGCAATAGAAAATTTCGGCAATGAAGACCATGCACCGAAAACAGATTTAGATGGCAAAGAAGAGAAAGTTGTGTGTCTAAATACAGCAAGAATCAGGGAGAATGCAAAAACACCAGGAAATGATAAAGAGAAACCTGACACAGCAGAGAAGGAGTGGAAGTTCCACATGACTGAGAAAAAGGACATGGACCATCATGCAGCAACCCAGGAAAAAGATGAAAGCAAAGTCTCTTTAGCTTTGGGCTCTGGAATTTCCAAAGAAACTTTGCAAGAGTTGAAAAACCTGTTGAGAGAAAGCCCAGTGCTGAGTACCAGGGTTAGGAACAGTGGCAAACCCAGAAGTCCCTCTTCCCATACACTTCCACTGAAGTCTAGTGATAATCAAAGGAGCTACATGGAAATGTTTCACCCTCATTTAAGAGGAGGTGATCAGAAAGTCCTCTCTGGGCGCAAGCCAGGAGCAGGGCTAACAGGGAAGCCACCCCTGCTGCACAGCTCTGCTGGGTTGGATAAGCAGCCATCCGAAAGCGAAGATATGGATCATTCTCCTGGGAGGCAACAGACACATTCCCCCAATGCAGGCAGTGCTTCAGAAGCTAAATTTGAGCCCACATCTGGTAAGGAAGTTAAGACTTTGCCTGCAGCACACCATATAGGGATGGGAGTCTTCCCAGTTAAACAGAAGTGTTGCCTTGTCTTCTTTTTATTGATAACACAGACTTGTGTGGTTTATGGTATACAAGGACATTGTGCATCAAAAAGGTGTGTGCGTGTGTGTATAAATGCCACAAGTGGGAGGGCCAGAGGAGCCCATTCAAACTCAGTAATTAGGGCTCGGCAGGGGAGAAGAAGGTGGGTGCCTGTGTTGTGTCATTATCAGTGCCTCCCCCCCGATGATTTTTGCCAAAAGATAAATGCTTGCTTCCACTCCACCCCCCACAGCAAAAAAATGTCATTTTTGGTAGCTCCAATAAGGAGAGCAGCCAGAAGTATCATGAAAGCATGAACTCTGAGGGGGGAAAGCTGCAGGATAGCTCTTGAAAAACACGGGCACCATGGAGATATCCCCTACTCCAGGCATAGGCAAACTCGGCCCTCCAGATGTTTTTGGCCTACAACTCCCATGATGCCCAGCTAGCAGGACCAGTGGTCAGGGATGATGGGAATCCTTTGATTACTAGTCCAAAACATCTGGAGGGCCAAGTTTGCCTATGCCTGCTCTGCTCTAATGGGAGGGGGCACAGGAAGGCTCCAACCCAGATTGTCCCCAGTGAGCTTCATGGCTGAGTGAGAAATTGAACCCAAGCCTCTTAGGTCCTGGCCCAGCTCTCTAACCACTATACCACACTGGAATGAGCAGAACTTTCCTGAGCAGAACTTTTTAAAGCTAATTTTAATGAAATGCATGTAGAAGTTTTCCCTGAACAGGCTCCTTCAGATTCATCCAATCCATTGCTTTCTGCCTTGGGTGTTCCATGCAGAAAGTGAGGGCTATAAACTGTAATAATAAATACATCATTTAATAGAGAACCAGGGCTGTGTCCAGCTCTTTACCTGCACGTCACCTGGCTAACATTATTGAAACTTAATAAAGGCCCATGAAATTCATAAAGAAATATTGCCTGAGCAGGAACCCTGCAAATTCACTTTGGATTGCATGTGGATTAAGCAAAATTTGGAGACAGTTTTAATTGGCTCCAAAGTAGCACGTATCAATCATGCGGAACTAATCTGAATAAATGAGTCCAACAAATGATTGAATCTGTGGCCACCCGGAATCCAGAAAGCTAGATTTTTGCATCTTATCCAAACTATATCATAATTAGACCCCTTCAGACAACTGGTTGCATTTGCTTCTGGCAGTTTAGTGACTACAACTGTTAATAATGAGTGAAAAACCAGCTGTCTGAGAGCAGCAGAGGCCTGTTTGAAATCTGTGGGGCTCTGGCGGGGGGGTGCATTCAGCTAGATTTTTCTCAGGGTAGCTCCATTAAAATGAATGAACGTGACTAAGCTAGGTCCATTAATTTCAATAGGCTTACTCTGAGTAAACTTCAGTTGATTACCACCTAAAATGTTTCACCATTTATACGTTGCATATACACAGATGTTATCTAGGTGTATTGCTAAGTTATTATTTGCAAAGTGTATCTTGTTGAGCCTTAAGACATGCTGCACCAGAGGCTTTTCTGCTTCACACCATTAGAATCAAGATGCTTACGTGTACAGTTGTACCTCTGGTTACGAACGCTTCCGGTTACGAACGCTTCAGGTTACAAGCTCCGCTAACCCGGAAGTAGCTGCTCCTGGATGCGAACGGAAATCGCTCGCTGGAGGCGCACGCGCAGAGGGAGACCCTATTAGCGAAAGCACGCCTCAGGATAAGAACAGTTTCAGCTTAAGAACGGACCTCTGAAACGAATTAAGTTCGTAACCAGAGGTACCACTGTACTGATCTTTGCGTGGGATCGCGTACTGCATTGAAAAGATATACCAGTGTGGACATGTTGATGGCAAATATTTAAATTTTGACCTGATCAAGTGTATTTTCATTTTTAGAACACAGCAGAGATCCCAGTGTAAAGAGCATTCCCCTTCACTTGGTCTCTGAGATTGAGCGCATTAAAGAACAGATGTCCAGAGACAATATACGTTTTGTCAGGTTTGAAGCAGCCGACCTTCATGGCGTGTCAAGATCAAAGAGCATCCCGTCTCGTTTTTTCCGGGTACGTTTATCCATCCCCTGTAGCAAGTCTTCTTCTGTGTTCTCAGGCCATGAAGAGACAACTTGCTATACCACAGACCTTTGCCATGTACAATACAATTCCAGTTTACACAACATATATTTCCTCCTTTGTTCATTGGTACCCCATAAGGCTTATTTCATCTCCTCCCTGCTGCCCCCCTGCCAAAGCGGTCATTCCTCAGCCCTGAAGAAATGCAAATCTAATTAAGAGAACTTGTCAGTGTTGATTCTTTACACACCCAAGACTCGCCTTCCCCCAGATTTATCTTTCTTTTTCTAAACATTTGCAACATGCACAACGATCCTGTTTTATTTGACATCGGCAAATTGCAGGAGGAGGCCAAGAGCAAATTACAAAAGGCACTGAAGTGATAGCATGGGAATCATTCTAGTTTGGAAGTATTCCCTTTTCAGCGATTAAATCAGATAAGAAAATACTGTTGTATGCATGACGGCTTAATAATAATATTAGTGATGCTGGTGTTCTAATAAATATGAGTCATATTATGAAGCATTTGGTAGCAGCTGTATAGAAAGTAGTGACCTCTAAGGGCCTTTTGGTGTATTGTTTATGTGATACTCAGCATGGATGGTTTATATGCTGCATTTTAGCTATAACCGTGTCATGAATATTTCAGGTTCCATTGAGTGAAAATATATACTGGCATTACTGGAAATCTAGTAAAACCTTGCTTTCATTCTAAACTTCTTTGAAGCCCCAAAGGCAATTTTCTCTTAATTTTGTCCTTACATCTTGCTGTAGTTTTGAAGCTATGGGCTCAGATCCAATTTTCTTTCACTGATGCCATTTAGGCATTAGCAGAAATGAACTCTCTTCCAGGGAATTTAATGCTCTTGAAAGGCGATGGGGTAATGGGACCATCTTTTCACCCATCACTCAATTCAAAGTGCAGGGAGCCAGGCTCACCCTTTTCAAATTAACCTGAACTTGTCTGATATATCCCCAACCCAAGCTCAAATTAAAGTAGAAGTGAAAGTGTAAATCATCTGATGTTCTTCAAAATAAAATAAAAAATAAGTTGGAATGTAAGATGAGCACAAGTGTGCAGGACTAGGTCTAACCACATGTACAATATTACAGGTTACTGACATAGGATGCTGTTGGATTCTTGGAAGGAGCTTTTGATCCATCGTATGCCTCTGCTAATAGAGAGAGGAGGCAGTTATTAGGAATTCTATTCCCCCTTTGCAGAACCAAAGGACTAGTTGATTGCCTGCCTCCCATCCAGGTGGTTCTGTTTCTACCTGCACATTTCTATACTTGATCGTTGGACTGCTGCACGTCTTCTTATCTTTCTGCCTTCATTTATTGTCACATTGGCAAGTTGTTTGGTTTGGGGTGATTTTCGAACATGTTTCAATTCCCCACTCTTTCAGGTTATGACCTCTTTCATTCCCCTCAAGTGTTGGGGGACCTCCCAGAACAGGGTGGAATGTGGGGTGGGGGCCTGTAAAGGGAATAACAATTAAGATAAATCACCTCCCCTCTTCTCCCATTTGTGAAGGTGTCTGCAGGATCGCAAGCCCATCCCTGAAACCAAGGGCACCAGTAGGATTCCACCTATTGTCGGGTTGGCCAATGTCACCTGTTAACAAATTTGTTGGATTATTTTGTTCTAATTACCTGTTGAAACCCTTTGGGTATGCAGGGCAAACTAGTATTAAGAGAGTGAACCTTGGAGCAGATGTTTTCTGTTGCAATCACACACTTGTATGTAAGGAAACTAACCTTGTAGATATGGAAAAGAGATACTTGGATAGAAAAGTTCCCAGTTCTAGTCTAGCTAACTAGTCTATAGTAGAACAAGGAAGCCATGAGGTCCAAGAGGGAAGTGTGAGAAGTAGGAGGAAGTTGTAAACAGGGTGCAACCTGAGACGCAGCTGGTTGCTAACCTTTCACAGAGGAAGTTCACTGAAGAGTTAGTGAACTATACCACAATCCAGAGAACCACACAACCAAAATGCTCCCTGGGCCTTTTTATTTCCCAACCCTATTGGCAACCTCCAATGTACTCTGTGTGTGCCTGTTCAAAGAAAAGATGCTAGAGGTCCCACTGGACACTTAGAAATCTTTGGATATATCTCTTGTGAGATACAGTGCATAACTCCCTTATGGAACAAGTTGCTGACATCCCTGCTTTTGAAGTGTGGCCCCTTTTTTGTTGTTTAGTCGTTTAGTCGTGTCCGACTCTTCGTGACCCCATGGACCAGAGCACACCAGGCACTCCTGTCTTCCACTGCCTCCCACAGTTTGGTCAGACTCATGTTTGTAGCTTCAAGAACACTGTCCAATCATCTCGTCCTCTGTCGTCCCCTTCTCCTTGTGCCCTCCATCTTTCCCAACATCAGGGTCTTTTCCAGGGAGTCTTCTCTTCTCATGAGGTGGCCAAAGTATTGGAGCCTCAGCTTCATGATCTGTCCTTCCAGTGAGCACTCAGGGCTGATTTCCTTAAGAATGGATAGGTTTGATCTTCTTGCAGTCCATGGGACTCTCAAGAGTCTCCTCCAGCACCATAATTCAAAAGCATCAATTCTTCAGCGATCAGCCTTCTTTATGACCCCTTACATATAACCAAGAAAGAGGAAGTCCATCATCAGAATTAAAAGGGCAAAAGAAGATGCATATTAGCATAAAATTTGCATGTGTTAATTTATATGTATAGATTCAAATTTAGAAATATACTATAGCTGAACTAGAAATAATCTCAGTTTAATGGAAAAGATTCTGTGTCTGCTCAGTCTGCTGTCCTGGTGCTTTTAATTGTTGGTGGCTGCTTCAGGGCTCCTGCTCTCCCTTCTTAGGGTTCTGTATCTTTGAAATGGTCTTGCACCGGACAGCCCTTCAGATAAAGGACTGTCCTCTGTAAAATCAGACACACAGCTACCCTTGCGCAGAATTTGAACTCATACAGGCATAGCATTTCTCACTGTTGTAATCATAATTGTACCTTATAATTGCAGTGTTAAAGTGACTACAGCAAAATCCTAAAAGTTTCTTCCCTCTGTTTAGGCCAAAGCAATCCATGGTGTTGCCATGCCCAGAGGTTACCTTGAACTGACTCTGAATCCCAAGGATAATGAAATAAACCATATAAGCGCCAGCAATTTCAACTGTGACATAATCCTGAGTCCTGAATTATCAACGTTTCGGGTTTTGCCATGGACTGAAGACACTGCTAGAGTGATCTGCGATTCCTTCGCTGTAACTGGCAACCCTTTATTGACTTCCCCCAGGCACATTGCCAAACAACAGCTGGGGCAACTCCAAGACCACGGCTTTGCCCTGCGTTCTGCCTTCACTTACGAGTTCTGCATTTATGGCATTGCCGAAATCATCAATTCAAAGACGATCACTTTCCCCACTACAACCATGCTCAATAACCAAGACCAGTGTTTCATTCAGGAACTCATTGATGGGATGTATCACGCCGGGGCGAACATTGAGAGTTTCTCGTCTTCCACAGGACCTGGCCAAATGGAGATCTCTTTTCAGCCAGAGTTTGGCCTCAGTGCAGCCGACAGTGCCTTCACCTTCCGCACCGGCATTAAAGAAGTGGCCAAAAAGTACAATTACATTGCCAGCTTTTTCACCGAGAATGGATTTTGCAACTCAGGCATCCTCTCCCATAGCCTTTGGGATATCACTGGGGAGAATAATTTGTTTTCTTCTGGTTCCGGAGCCCCCGAGTTCACCGACATAGGGAAGAACTGGCTTGCTGGGTTATTGGTGCATTCTGCAGCTCTGAGCTGCTTGATGGCTCCAACCACCGGCTGCCGTAAACGCTACAATGTGTACCGCAAGGATTCCAAGGAGATGGTGTCTGTGAAGTGGGCATGGAATGATAACAGCTGTGCATTTAACGTTAAAAGTCACGGCGAGAAAGGAACTCGGATTGAAAGCAGGCTAGGTTCAGCAATGGCAAACCCTTACTTGGTTCTGTCTGCTACTATCGCTGCTGGTCTGGATGGCATAAGGAGAGGACTCAGTTTCCAGGAGGCATCAGAGGAGATCCAGAGCACTGCTCAGTTCAAAGTTGCAACAATCCCGCTGAAATTGGAAGATGCTCTCATTGCACTTCAGGAAGATGAGTGTATCCGGGAAGCCCTAGGTAACACCTTTGTCCGGTATTTCGTCGCTATGAAACAGTATGAGATGGAAAATGAAGAGATGGACGTGGAAAGGAATAAATTTTTAGAATATTTTATCTAGCACAAGTGCATGGCATTTTGAGAGCCACTGTAGTGTTATGGCTAAGAGCCTGAGCTATGGATCAAGAAGTTTCCAGTTTGAATCCCATCTCTGCCATGAACTCACGGGGCAGTCTTAAGCAAACTGCTCTCTCTCAGCCTCAGTCCTCTCATCTGCAGCATGGGAAATAATAAAATTGATCTACCTTACAGAGTTGTTGTAAGGATCACACCCAGATAATGCGAATGCATTACTCTGAACACTTGTTAAATGCTATACAGAGTATTAGAATTGTTTATTGGTAGAAAGATTGGTTTCCATAGCTTTGTAGTAAATATAGATGCTCTTGAATAAGGCTTTTTCAGTTTCAAAAGCTGGCATATAGAGCACCCTGATTCCTTTGCCCCAGAGTTCTCTATATGTTTGGCATACTGAAAAAAACAAAGCTGGCTAGTGAAATCCTGTGCTGTATTGTACACACTTATTTCCTCGATTGTTTCCTTCAGTACCAGTTTTGCAGTAAAGTGCTGAACTGAAGTTGTGAAAAGCTCCAGCATGAAGATCAGTCACCAATAAAAAAGGTTGTAAATAATTCCAATGCTGTTTTCTTCAGCTTTGTATACAGCAACTGGGAACCATTCACATATAAGATAAAGTCTATCCAAGTGTAGCTCTGTTCATCAGGGAGTGGTTTTATTTTAAGTTAAGTTCTAAAAGTTTTATACTTCTTAGAAGAATAATTGCTGAACTATGGCTTGGATCCTGAGTTCCATTTGGCAAACAGAAGGACTCATTCTAGACACATGGTGACGCAATCCAGTGAAGGATGTCACTGGTGGATGTGAGTCTTGCCACCCCCACCCTAGAGTTGAAAGGTACCCTAACCATCCGAAGTAGATTTTGGGGGTGGGCTTCACTGGGAAGGGGGAAACTGAAAAAAGCTGTATCCTTTTTCCACCAGTGGGGTATGAATGAACCTTTGCTCACAGAATGCTCCCGCATGTAGGGATTCAAAGAATTCTACTGGAAACACAATTGGAAATGGAAATTGCCATAATTTGCATGCTCATCCAAAGTCAGGAACAGAAATTGTGCAATTATCTATGCAGTGTTCACAGAGATAGATAGATAGATAGATAGATAGATAGATGATAGATGATAGATGATAGATGATAGATGATAGATGATAGATGATAGATGATAGATAGATAAATGATAGATAGATAGATAGATAGATAGATAGATAGATAGATAGATGATAGATAGATAGATAGATAGATAGATAGATAGATAGATAAAGGTAAAGGGACCCCTGACCGTTAGGTCCAGTCATGGCTGACTCTGGGGTTGTGGCGCTCATCTCGCTTTACTGGCCGTGGGAGCCTGCGTTTGTCGGCAGACAGCTTCTGGGTCACGTGTCCAGCATGACAAAGCCACTTCTGGCGAACCAGAGCAGCGCACAGAAACACCGTTTACCTTCCCACTGGAGCAGTACCTATTTATCTATTTGCACTTGACGTGCTTTCGAACTGCTAGGTTGGCAGGAGCAGGGACCGAGCAACGGCAGCTCACCCTGTTGCGGGGATTCAAACCACCGACCTTCTGATCAGCAAGCCCTAGGCTCTGTGGTTTAGACCACAGTACCACCCGTGTCCCCTAGATAGAAAGCTAGATCAACCCACTCATATTCACTATATTTTTAAAGTCTGTGAATGTTACATAAATATTTCATTTTCTGCATTGTTGTTGATGTTTCCCTTCTGTAGAAATGAACCAAAGTTCATTGGTTCATTATGTAATCAATTGATTACATAATTGATTATGTTAGTTTCAACCACTGGGGAGGATGAGGAGAATAATGTAGGTTTTAGCAGAAGCTGAGCTGTAGCAGAACAGAAGTGGAGCTGATTGCGATGAACACTAACCCTTTGTATCAAAGAAGGAGAATACTGATGTGATCAATAACCCAAAAGCAAGCATGGAAGATGGGTGGATGCATGCCTTGGTTACTAGATAACTTCCCTCTCATTCCTCATCAGACATGCTGCGGGAAAGTTTCCATTGTGTGACGCTAATGGTTTTTTGTTATTGAAAAATATTAATATTTTATGGCGCTGAATTGGTTTAAATTCAAAGTGTGAAGTTGGTCTGTTACGTTTTGTAGGAGGTCATTGGAGATACCACAAGGGATGAATGAAGCTGCATTTATTATTTAAGCTGCAAAACAATATCCATTGTAGCATGACCTGCTAGAAGCTGCATCTTCTGGAACTGATACTTTTCTTAGGAACTGGCCAAACCAACTCTGCCTTGAAACATCACATGTGAATTCGGCTCTGTCTGTTAGCTTATCTCATTAAATGCAGTAAAGCCCTTTGTACAAGTGCACCTCTCATTTCACCTGCAACCTACACATCTTTCCCTTGAACATGGCATAAAATAACAGCTTTTAATCGTAGCGCTCTAAGGAAGAAATCTGTGGAGGAATCTGCACAGCAGGGTGGATTGCTTCATTAGGTAGTTCAGAATTCTGATGGATGCCACGACGCTCTTCTCCATTAGCTTGCATCTGCTGTAGTTTAGCAACATTTTTTTTTTTAAATGTTCCTTTCAGTAACTCTGTTAAATCCTGCAGTCACACAATGCGGACAAAATGAAACAAACACCAAGAAACTAAAAATATTTTTTTTAGACTTATTGATTGCTTGTTACCCAAAGTTCTCCAAGTGACATACAACACATTTAAAACAAAACAAAACAAAACACAGACACATTATACCATTGACAGATTCCTACAAAAAACCCACAATTCATTAAAAGATATATTTGCTTTATTATATATTGTTGGGGGGGGTCACATTTCTGAAGGCTCCTCTGTGTAGGTTAGAACCAATACCTCATATATCTTAGATTTTATATAGGTGCAGGAATTTATGAGTAATGTTATCCTCCATCTCCAGCCTCAAGTGGTCCTCCTTCATGTATGGTTTAGGCTTAAAACTGAGTTATTCAAGTATTGCATTCTTTCATCGATCCATATATTTTAAATTGGAACATGCTACCTAAGTCTTTAAAGCACAACTTTTAATATCATCTGTATGCATAATGAAGAATATAAAAATTCTCATCGTTATGGAAGAGAAAATCACTTCTGCTAGATAACATAAATGGACCGTTTTTCGTAAGATTTTATTTTTAAAAAAGTGACATGCTGAAACAAATTATGCTTGTGATCTTAATTAGCATGTATCTATATGACATTTGTTGGCTTCAACACTATTTATGAAAAGTGTGTTTGCAACAGGGTCAGAAATGTATTGTTTTGCTGAGTATAAATATGGACTGATTTGGGGCTATTGGGTTTGATTTTCAAATAAAACTTAGTTCCCTGGAGTGTATTTTGTTGCATGACCCCCCAAAATAAAAGCAACAAAAGGATATTAATTCCATATCCTTTGTCCATTTTGTTGGTTGGTTGGCATCCGTCGGTCTTGGGGGACAATGGAGGAGTGTGCCTTTGTCCATTTTGTACAGTGTATTTAAAAGTGTGATACTTGATTATTCACATGCCTCTTCCATGAGCATAAAACAAACAGCTCTTCCCCAATGAAATAATTTTTGGTGTCTTTATATGTGTAACTCATGAACCCAATTCCACATGCTTTTAAAATATAACAAAAATGCACAGCGCTTCCTCCCCCCCCCCCACAGAAAACAATACATGTATAAGTGCTTATGTCTATAACATGTGCCCACACTTAAAAAGCTTAATCAGCCATTGTCCTCTTGTCAGGAGGTTATTTCTGAAATCTGTTCATGTTGAGTTCTTCTTAAATTGTTCTAAATTAAGATTCCGGAATCAATGGACGTTTTTGTTGCACTGAGAGATAAACACTGTCTGTGCTTTTCGTGGAGGTGCCTGGCAGCTGTGCCACACCACTCATGCATCCGGCATGTATGAGAAAGGGCACATGTGTACAGATCCTCCACACACGGGAGATCCATGTTCATATGTAAGAGCACCTTCCCTGATGTGCCAGCTGGATGATGGAGGGTGTGGCACCCAGGCATGCAACAATTTAAATGAAGGGGGAAGAGGACAACGGGAAGAAGGAACAAGGAGAAGAGAATAAATACGGAAACGAAAAGGTGAAAGCAACTGGCGAAAACTAGAGTTAAGAACAGAGATGTCAAGTAGCAAGATGCAAGGACATGCTGCAGGAGTGTTGAATGACTCTGTTATGACTGCACAGGCAAGTCTTCCGTTGCGCAGTGAACAATAATGATACCTTGCACCTGCTTATTACGCCTGGGTAGATATTATTTTGAGATACGGTAAGACAGTCCTATATAGATAGACGGATAGACAGATACAGAGCTCAGCATTACTCACAGTCCCATGTGTCTAATGACAGCTTTAGATTCCTGAGTTATGAAAATGGGATTTGATTTGTAAAGAATGGCTCCTGATGCTGTTTGTCATGAACACCACGAGCAGGAGGAGCAGTTCTTCTCCAGACTCAAGGCAGAGGGCAGCAGCACGCCACAGAACTGACGCTTGTCTCTGCTTCCACCAGAAATCACTGTAGGTTTTCAGCCCAGAAAAATACCACATATCTTTTTTTTTAAGGGTAACACAAATGCCCACAGCTACTATGCATCTTTCCCCCTTGACGTTTGATTAATTTGTTGTTTAGTTTTTGTAACCTTTTCATGCTCTGCAGGATGCAGAGTTATATATAAGGTTCCCACGGCATTAGTATAATTATTTGGAACAAAGGTGTGAGATATAAATTAAAGTTGGGGACCTGCATCCCCAGGAGAAAAGGCACGGGCTTGTGGTGGCTTCCATTTTCCAGAGTGCTATGGGGTAGCCTGGAGGGGGAGAGCAAGTGACAGTCATGATTTTGGCTGATTCACTTTTCTAAAAGAAAAGCCACCCTGGTATTACAGATGTTAAAATCATAGAATTGTAGAGTTGGAAGCAGAGCCGTAGCTAGGTGATCTTGCGCCCCTGGCAGAAGCATCCAGACTGTGCCCGCCAGCCACAGACCAATTATCTCTTCTTTCCGCCTCTTTTCCAACCCCTCCCCGTTCCACCCATTCAATTCACTCTCTATTTAAAACCATTTCTTATTAGGCAATAATCAAGATTTATGGACATATTTTTAGGTGATTTTGCGCCCCCCCCATCACCTGCACCCCTAGCAGGGGCCCACCTCACCACCCCCTAGCTACGGCCCTGGTTGGAAGGGACCACGAGGGTCATCTAGTTCCACCCCCTGCAATGCAGGAATCTTTTGCCCAATGTGGCACTCAAACCCATGACCCTGAGATTAACAGTCTCATGCTGTACCGACTGAGCTGCCCAGGGAAGCACCTGCCAGTTTGGCAATGGTCAGCAGTGATGGGAGTTGCATTCTGAGAAGATCTGAGAAGATCTGAAGAGCCACAGGTTCCCCGTCCCTGTATTAAGAGGAAGATGCTTGTAACTTTGCTGGTCAGGCAGAGTGTGAGATAAAGGTACTGTATAGACTCATTTTTGGTATCTGCCACTTGTTTCAGTTAGCAAGGACATTGGGGGGCTCATTGGTTTGAGTTCTAAACCTGTGAGGCTGCTTCCATCTGCATAATAATAGCAGCTTGAAGAAGGAGTTCTGCGACCTTGCAGAACATAACAGATCTAGGCATTTTGAGGAGGTGTTGGTTCATGAGACAGCTAGCTTAATGCAACCTCTGCTGGGTTACCAGCCTGAAAGCTACCCCTGTGTGTGCTTGTAAATGATTGTTGCAAACAATCCAAAGAAGGCCACAACAAGCAAATTATATATTTTAATGTGCAAACAGATTTTGGTCCATGTATACCAGTGGTGGGGAGCCACTGGCCCCAGGACTAATTTGGTCCATTAGGCTTCCCACATTTGGCCCACAAGGGTATTTTGTTTCAAAGCCATGCACACCTTCCCTACACCTGAAGTCATGTATGGTGTCAGGTATGAGGCAGGGACAGAGGGCGGTTGTATATTGTTAAGGGTGTTTTGAGTATACTTGGGTACTCTGATTTGAGAATGAGTGAGGAGAGAGAAGAAGGCTATGGACTGGCTCACACAGCCATTTCTTGTGGCAGTGTGGGTCATGTGGTTCTTCACTGCCTTTAGCCACTTTGACATTATCTATGCTTAGTCCAAGATTTACTATTCTTTTGATCCTTTTTTAAAAAAAGTAATAACTTATCTGTTAGAAGCTTGTGCATAGTAATCTTAACACACCGAGATGGGTAGATTTTGAGGAGGTAGCGGGATATATAAATTGTCAACAATAATTTCATGGTTTTAACACCGGGTGTGATTAATGGTTCAAGATTTCGGCTGTCATCATAGACTCAGTTACCAGCTTAAATTCCATTGAAGTAAATTGGATTTAAGCAATTCAGCTGTATGTAGGATGGTAGCCCTGAAAAGAATGAGTAAGAAATAACTGTCGAGATTCTAATGGTACCACCTTTCATGTCTTATATTGCATGACAACTGTAATTAAGTATGTGTACTCTACATATACTCAATATTTTGGGGTGGGTGGGTGGGTGGAGCAGTGGAATCTTCAGGTGTTAGCAAAGAATTGGTTTTCTTTTTCCTAGAAGCATTCAACAGAATCTTGATGCAGGTCTTCCACTTTCTTATAACACTGCTGGAAATCAACCAACAATTTGCTGGAGTTTCTTTGCATAGCAAAATGTTGTTTGTGACATCATCATCCCACCCATGCCTGCTCCCGTGGCTTAAATGAACTCGTAAAATATATCACAGAGGCTGCAATTCTCTGGTCCCTGGGAGAGCATCCTAAAGGCTATTGGATGCTTGGAATGTAGCAAGCTGCCTGACTCTGAGTCAGACAATTGGTCCATTTTGCTCAGTGTTATCTATTATTTAAAAACAGGGCAGTTTTTCTTTTATTTGCAGAGGAAGCAGTTTGCATTCCAAGCACTGATAGAAGTGCTTTGAATCCATGCTGCTTGCTGCAGCCCACTTGGCTGCTCTAAAGGGTTCAGGAACGAGAAATTCCCTGAAGTCAGTGCTTCAGCTGTGCATGGGGCTCTCTTCAAGCCCCAACAACCAGCCACTTGTTGCTTCTTGTAGAGAGCCCTGCGCTGTGCTTTGAAGCTTTGGCAATCAGCTGACAGTTCCAAGTGCCTTTCAAAGGACTTAAGTGCTGCTGATCAGCTCCTTTCGGCCCTTCTGGGATTTTATCTGCCCCACAACTGACATCACATATGACCTCAGTTTTGGGGCAGGTGGGTGTGGCTTGAGCAGAATGGTTTGGTGGGCCAAATGGGAATGGCTGGCAGGTCTAATTAGGTCCATAAGATGGAGGTTCTCTCCCTCTGCTCTGCACAGACTGGCAGCTGCTATCCAGGATTTCAGACACTGTGTTTTCCTAGGTCTACCTGGTGATGCCAGGAATTGAACCTGAGGTCTTCTGCAATAAAAAGCTCTACACCACTTCCCTCTGCTAAAGATATCAACAGATGCTTCTTCTGAATGGGGCCCTACAGTGAAAACCTGGGACTCTCAAACAAGAAGTACATTTTGCACATATGTAACCAAATTTGAGGTGGCTCCATGCCTCAATGTGACCTCCGCATGTAGATTTTGCAGTTGCTTATATTTGTAAGAAATATGACTACAATGATGCCATGGGGATCAGATCCAGCTCATGCTCATTCAGCTGAGCAGATTACTGAAGTTCAAAATATAAGTGTTTATAAAAAGCTCCTGGATGAATTACGGCATTTAAAAACCTTGTCCATGAATATTGGGAGAATTGGTAATAAATATGGCAAAAATGTGGCCGGACAATGTGCTCAGGAAGTTTTCATGTAGATACTTCATTGCTGCCACTTGGGAAGAATGGTTTGCTTCCATCAGCAGGCTGTTAAAGCCAACCCAGAGGACTTGCTGAGAGCGCCACAGTAAATTAGAGAGTCCAGAATTGCACAGTGTAATACCCCCTCCCCCTGGTGCTCCTTACTAAATCAGAGTGTTTCATGGCAAAGTTACGTGGTCCAGTTTCATGGCCTTGTAAGTGAAAGTCTTGCTACAAAGCTGTAGTATAATCTTTGGTACATTTTTACAGTAAATCAGTAGGATGCGCACAACAGAATTATACAGCATACTCCTTGGTACGGTACGATAAATCAGTGAAGGCTCACAATAAGGCTCACTGTGTTATAAGTCATCAAATGACTGGAGCAAGCTGCTTCCTTTGTTTGGAATAATGTGGATTTTATGGCTTTGAAAACATGAGCAGCACATGTCAGTTGTTTATAATACTAAGAAATGGGCCAAGGAGGCCAAAGGGACTGTCTTGGATTCCCAACAATCAAGGATCTTTATGGTTTAGAAGTTCTTGAACAACCATCATGGTTTATTTGTCCACACGGGCGTATGAATGATGAGTAGCTCACTGCCCACTTTGTGGAGGGCAATGGGAGCTGTAGCAGGGGTGTAGCCTTGCATGGTCATCCCCACTCATGTGTTGGTTTCACACAGAAATAGAAAGCCTGAGGAGAGCTGTAGAAAGTGCCTGAAAAGTCTTTTCCATCATTATTCTCTCTTCCCCACTAAGCTTGGACAAGTGGTTTGTGAACCTCAAAAGTCTCCATTTTCTCCCTCTAACTTTCAGACACAGTGACAAAGGTTTCCTTTGGGCCTCTCAGCATCACGCCATCCTAGGAATGTCAGCAGCAAATAAGGACAAATGGCAAAGAACTGTGTCAATTTAGGCCCAGCTGCTAAAGTATTTCTAACCTAGCTTCCTCCAAATGACCCAGGAATGGTTGTCAGCAGGCTGCCATTCTACTGAGCAGTAATAGGGAGAGGGAGATTACAGGAAATAGCTACTGCCTTGCAAAACATTGAAGCTAAACAGCTATGAAATATTGTTAGAGGTGCTCTCAAGCTGTGGAGTCACCAGTTTAGAGGCCTTCAAGTCATTTTTTCACCATCCACAATGTGTAGACCCATTTACAAGGTAACAGCGACAAAAATCTACAGCACAAAACTTAATTTGGGGTGCACCACCCCAGTTTTTAATATATTATTTTCTCTATATTTTGCCTTGAAAGTGTGTTACACCAAAATAGAGTATTAAGCTGGACACAATTCACTGCTATCTCAAAGAGGACACTCTGGAGATATGGATATGCACCCTGCGATTAGCTTTGGACCACCATCTTGGCATCTAAGGGTCATCACACATCACTGAGCATTGCCCATTGTGCATTATTTAACACTGGCTTTGACTGGATTGTGGCTCTTGAAGGAGTTAGCCCCCCACTTCAGTTATGGAGATATAGGATATGGGGTTGTGCAAAGCTTATTTTGGGATTCAGGGGCCTATAAACTTCAGTTCCATAATACGTTTGTTTACTGAGTTCTGTTTCGAGCTCTCATGCCAGTAATGAACTAAGGAATAACAACAAACTTTAGCATCTTCTTTTCAGTCTGTGAGTAAAGTGGCCAAGTTCTCTTTCAACAGGGTGATTCGCTTCCCTGTATTTCTTCAAACGATTGTTTCCCTTGTTCATAAAGAAGCGGCTATAGTTTCTGGATAATTTAGGGTTGTCACCTTTATCATGAGTTAGCTCTTACTCCATTAACAGCCGTAAGGCAGGCACAAAAGCCACAAATGACTCTCTTGCTAGGTTGGAAAAAGTTTGGGTTGATAAGTACATAAGAAAAGCCCTGCTGGATAAGGATCAAAGCTCATCTAGCCCAGCATTCTCTTCTCACAGTAGACAAGCAGATGCCTCTTGGAAGCCAGGAAGCAAGACCTGAGTGTGGCAATACTCTCCCTGTTTGTGACACACAGCAACTCATATTCAGAAACTTACTACCTCTAACAGGAGAGGTGGAATATAGCCCACTGTAGCTAGTAGCTGCTGATAGACGTATCCTCCATGAATTCGTCTAAACTGCTTTTAAAGCCATTCAAGGTGGCTATTACAACATCTTGTGGGAGCAAATGACATTATGATACATGAAGAAGTACTTTTCTTTTGCCCGTCCCGAATCTTCCAATGTTTAGCTTGTCCCCAAGTTATGGTATTATGAGAGAGGCAACTCCCTTGACACCATGCATAATTTATACACCTCTATCAGATCCCATTGTTATTGTCCATGGAGTTTTCTTGGCAGGGATACTGGAGTGGACTGCTGGTTCCTTCTCCAGGTGGATCACATTTAGTCTAAACTCTTGTCTATGACCTGTCCGTCTTGGGTGGCCCTGCACGGCATAGCTCATAGCTTCTCTGAGTTATTCAAGCCCCTTTGCCACGAAATGGCAGTGCTCACTGGAAGGACAGATCCTGAAGCT